ATATATAAAAAATAACCGTGCTGGTTTATTCAAAGGATCACAGGTAAAATTAACATTACACGTCCAGGCATCTTCCACCCCCCAAACCTGCGCACAGGCAGCATGGAGGATAAAAGACCCTGAACCCTCATGCCTATACAATTTTATCCCTTGGTTGGGCTAGCCCATGCTACACAGGAACGTCAACCGTGACGTCACCTGATATGCCAGCTTCACAGCTGGCCGTAGCAGTAGTCAAAACATGGAGAGAATCAATGTGTGTGTGAGTGTTGATTATGTGGTGTGTATCTAAAAACATACAGGACATTCAGGGACATGTCCAGACATTAAGCCTCGGAAGATATTATGATTAAGATTACGGCTAAACATTTCATAATAATAGCAATAACCTCTCCTGCTGACAATCAAACTTTTCTATCTAGTTATCCTTGCCCATGTACACCCTGGTAAAATCTCATGACAATGACTAAGCGTTTAAACTAGACATCCTGTCTCCACTAAACATTTCTAATACAACAAATATCTAACAAATATCTATCTGACTAAAAAAATACCTAAATAATAATAATAAACTAGAGAAATGCATTTCCTATCGTAAATGCATGTGGATGGTGTGTGCTGAAGGATCGCCCTGAAAATGCTGAACATCTACCTGAAAGTATGCTCAAGTAGAATTTTCCCATTCATTTGAATGGGGCAAAATTTGCAGAATAAAGCTAAATATTTTAAAAGTGTGATGTTTTAAAAAATTCTGAATAGAGGCATGAATGTCCTTGAGGAACTGAAAATTTTGATACTTGAAATAGCAAAAAGTATGCTGATGTAGAATTTCCCCCATTCCTTTGTATGGGACAAGATTTTCAAAACAAACCTAAATATTTTAAATATATGAAGTTTAGAAAAATTCTGAAAGGAAGCATGAATGTCCTTGGAGAGCTGAACATTTTGATACCTGAAATTATGCTGAAGTAGAATTTCCCCCATTCATTTCAATTGGGCATGATTTTCAAAATAAAGCTAAATATTTCAAAGCTATGAGATTTAGAAAAATTGAGTAGTATCATCAATGTCCTTGAAGAGCTGAACATTTTGATAGCTAAAATAGCTGAAAGTATTCAGAAGTAAAAATTACCCATTCATTTGAATGGGGCATGATTTTCAAATTGAAGCTAAATATTTCAAAAGTATGAAGTTTAGGAAAGTTCTGCATAGAAAGATTCTGACTAGAAGCATCAATGTTCTTCAAGAGCTGAACATTTTAATAGCTGAAATAGCTGAAACAATGCTGAAGTAGAATTTTCCCATTCATTTGAATGGAGCATAACTTTCAAAATAAAGCTACATATTTGAAAAGTATGAAGTTGAGAAAATGTCTGAATAGAAGCATGAATGTCCTTGAGGAGCTGAACATGAAATAGCTGAAAGCATGCTGAAGGAGAATTTCTTCATTCATTTGAATGGTGCAAAACTGTCAAAATAAAGCTACATATTGCAAAATTATTAATGTCAGAAAGATTCTGACTAGAAGCATGAATGTCCTTGAAGAGCTGAACATTTTGATACGTGAAATAGCTGAAAGTATGCTGAAGCAGAATTTCTCATGTTGGTGACATCATCATGAATTGTGTCTGGCCAATGTTTTGTGTCTCACAGAAACAAAGCTATAAGGCTGCAGCTGGATGGTTAAAAATTTATAAAATGAAACC